AATGGTGTCGCCAGCCTCTGTTTGTCAGAGGCATGAAATGGATGACTGGAGAGGGATCATTTGATGATTACCTGTTTTGTTCACTCCCCCCTAGGGCATCTGGCATTGGCCACTGTTGGGAGATGGGATACTAGGCTAAATGGACCTTTGGTCTGACCCAGGATGGCCATTGATATGACTATACACACTAGGCCAGATTCTGTTCTCAGTGATACTGAAATAGCTACAGTGAACTCTGCTGAAGTCAACAATCTAGTGGAACGATTAGCCAGGCTGCTCTATATTATGTACGGGCTTTTGTACAAAGGAATGCCATTGGTTTCTGTCTGAAGATGAGAGCTGTGTTCACAGTCACCCTCACTGAAAGCTCCAATCCTCCACGTGTCTCTTATCTGGGGAGGGGAATGTTGCAGTGGGGATGGGAGGCAGTTGTTTCTTTCTGTTGTTGCTCTGTCTTTGTTCACAATGCCCTTTGATTATGAGGCTTACCCAGCAGGGCAAATTGAAAGTGAAACATGAGGGACAATGGGATCAGGTGCTGATCCAGACAGATACGTTGGGAACAAAATCCACTTACCTGAATTACTTTCCTGATTTTCCAGTTCTTTTAAGGAAATGGTGCCCACATATCAGTTGCAGCACATCAAATTCAACCTGCTGTAGGCCACATGATCTCTGGTTGCCATGCGGGAGTAGCATAATCTGAAGAATTCTTTTAGAGTGACACACATGTGTTTGATGGGTGAGAGTTCTTAGCAAAAATGACCCCAGAAGAAGCCACATGAAGAGACTCAGTGAAGACATAGTTTTCATAGAATCCATGGCACAGGCCTGCATACCATTCCGCAAGGGCTTCACTTGGAAATCATTGTGACTGTTTTGTGCGTCATGTGATTAAACAGTTGCTGAACTGGCACCTTAGGTGTCACATGCGTTGTAATGTGAATGTTGTGTTTCTGTGATGCCGACAGGCGGAACCAAACCTGGGACCTCTAGAGCTTAATGCATGAGTCTCTACCACGTGAGCTAAAAGCCCGGTTAGGCTGTAAGACAGACTCATTTTCCTTTCTATAAGTGGTCTCAGTGCCACTAAACCGGTGGTTTTCAAACTTTTTTTTCTCATGATCCAATTGAAAAAAATTATTCATGCCTGTGACCCAACATAATGTGACTAGAGTTTAGCCTCTGAGATGAGGCTGAGGATGAGAGCTTTGGCATATAGGAGGGGGCTCTGGCTTTGGGGGGGAGGGTCAGGACTGGGGCAGGAGGGGCTTACCTTGAACAGCTCCCGGTCAGCAGTGCAGCAGGGGTACTAAGGCAGCTTCCTGCCTTTCCTGGCACCACAGGTCATGCTGTACCCCAAAAGCAGCCCAGCAGCAGGTTCCCAGCCAATGGGAATGTGGAGCTAGCAATCCAGTCGGGGCAGTGCGCTCTCTCTCCCTCCCTCGCACCTAGGAGTCCATCCTGCTGCTGGCTGCTTCTAGGGTGGTGCCAGGACAGCACCCCTACTGGTCACCTGATCCCCCTGCAACAAGACCCCAGTGCCTGACATTCCATGACCCAGCACTGGGTTGCAACCCGTAGTTTGACATCCGCTGGTCTAGATGGGACAGTGCACCACACCCAGCAGCTGTGTAGGTTACACTTCTCTGTAGTATTATAGCAAAAGCAAGGCTCTAGTTAGAGATCTGTTGGTAGTTTCAGTATCAGCCTCCACTTTGGGAGAGGTGATCACAGCGGAGGAGGAACTGACTGCATCTAAACTACACTGTTGCGTGAATTGCTCAATGCACTAGAGCATCGCTTTTTAACTGCCCCCTTCCCCCGTGGATGCTGTTGGTGTGAGCAGAACAATACCTAGTTTGCTTGAATGTAGATGTTTTAGTTTGCACCCACAGCATCCACACAGGGCATCCGGAGCACAATACTTTTGGGTTGCTGTGCAAGTTGCACCTCTGTAGTTCATATAAACAAGCCCAGAGTCACAAAAATTTAGCTGATTTGGTTTTGGCATTCAAGTTGTGGGTCCTCCTTTGTTTTTTAAGCCCTAAACTAAATATTTTTGAAAGCAAAGGGTGAGGGGCACTAATAGCAGGTTGTTTTGTTGTTTCCCTGACTGTTATAACCCTCACTTTTTCACATGAAATTTCTCGGTGCATTGAGTTTCCCAACTCAGCATCTTGGGGGGAACTTTAGTATGGATGGTTACTTGGAGTAGCCCTGGAACTAGGTGCTCCCCTGAAGTAAAGTGCTACATCTTCATTGGACGGTGTCCATTTTAGATTATCAGACACCTGTAATTTCCAGTTTGGGGGAGTTTCTTTAAGTCAAAAATCATTATTATTTAGAGATCTTTAGGGCATCTATTCTGTACTCCTGTGTTTGTACAGCACCCAGTACAACCCTACTATGGAGCTGTCCGATTGCTGCTGCAATACAACTATTAATGAGAAACAAGACTCACACCAGGTAGCCCTCTCCAGCTGGCGCTTTACAGCCTGACATGAAAGCAAGAGATATAATCCTGGCCTGACTGAATTCAGTAGCAGAAGTTCTATTGACGTCCACTAGGCTAGAATTCCAGGTGTGGAACTGGATCTGGCATAATAGGCACAACTGGACTTATTATATGCTGTGTGGCACTGTAATGTGTTTGGGAGGGGAAGGTATGTCATGTTGCTCTGGGGTAGCTACTGCACAAAGCTAGTGGGTGAGGAAGCCTCTTGCTAGACAGCTTGATAAAGTGCACTGTACTTCCCTCTCCATGGCAGTCCCACCATGAGAGCCAGAGTAAAGAAAGATTGGGCCTTCATGTGAGCTCCAAGGGGAAAAGGAAAGAAGTGATGGGACTGCAGTTGTGCCTAGATCTTTCCTGAGGCTAGCAAAGTGTGGAGATAGCTTCTGGAGCCATTCTTGCCCCTTTGCCATCCACACTGCACACCCATGTAAGAACCAGGCACAATCTGCCCTGGGAGTCTGAGCCGGCAGAAGCAGCAGGGGGACAATGAAGTTGAATATGCATATCATGAGCTTTATAATGATTTTAAAATGATAATTTTACAGAAAATATAATAGAGCAAGGACCTGCTTTCCCAGTTGCCAAACGGGATGCAGGTGGGGCTATGTTTATATAGGCCATCCTGAAGGAGGGTATCAAATTCACAACCCTGGCAATGGAACTCATCCGTGTAAACAAGCTCACTGCACAGGTAATATCTTCCTAGAACCCACAGACTGCACAGGTCACAGCAATGCAGGTCCCTCACCAAAGGCTCATAAGCAAAGTAAACAGTCATGGGCAGGGATGCTCTTCTGAGCTTCAGGGTGTATATTTAAGAGTCCTGTAAACATGAATATTATTGACAAGTGGATAGTGATAAATCCTTTGTGTTATCTTTTAACCAGTTCCTGATCCACGACAGCACTTTCCCTCCCCATGACTCCGTACTGTGCTTACGAGCCTTTGGTGAGGGACCTTGCCAAAGCTTCTTAAAGTCCAAAAACATGATGTCTGCTGGATCACCATTCTGCCCATGTTTGTTGACATCCTCAAAGAACAAAGGCACCTTCTTTCCCCAAATATTTGTTGCAAATCTTGAGAGAGAGGGATTTATCGAAGTACTACTGCTATAAACTTAAATGTAATAGCCAAACTAAGGCAGTTAAGTGTACTTAATGTTATTTTCTCCCATACCTCCCTTGCTTACACATTTATTTTAAGCATCCCATCATTTATTTGGTATTCACAGTCACAGTTTATTACTGAAGAGTAGCTTGTGATACTACATGTATGAAACATTTTGCATAGTTTGACATGGAGCTTCATAAAAATCAATAGGAAATCATCATAAAACCAACACACAAGAGCCTAGAAATGGTCAGTAAAATGAAATGAAGTGGATTTGTTTTGTCTGATGTAGCTTTTAAAAATATTATGTCTCAAATCTACGTAATTTCTCTAGACTACCTTTGGTATCCCTCAAAAACCCCGCCGTGTCCAAGGAACATGTTTGCTCTTCTGCTTTTTTTCACAGAGGAGCAAACATACTCTTTCGGGGAGCCCTGTAGACCTCATTTCATGAGGCATAAGGGCTCTGCTGAAAGAGGAGGCTTTTCCGCCGTTGGCAGAAAAGCCTCTTCCAAAAAAAAAAAGCAGAAAAGTCTCTTCCCCCCGAAAAAGCGGAGCCTCTATCTAAAGAAAGTCCACCAAGCTTCGATGAGGAATTTCAATTGCTCAGTGGTATTCTTCAATATAACAGCACTTTTAATGTTATCCCTGAAGTTTGAAGGGATGTTCTCAGACTGAACATAGTGCATAACTATATTGCACATTACAGTTCATTAAAATGGAAGGAGCTGTTAAAACTACTTTGACTCCCGCCTTACTGTATTCACATGAGTAGTTCAGATGGATTTATTGACATATGTAAAGCTACACATGTAAGTAACTCTTAGAAGATTCAGGACCATACTTCTCCCTTCTTTTCTGTGAACTTGCTAAGAAAAGCAGACTCATCAATTTCGCTTTCACTTTCTAGACCGTGTCACTGTCTCCTGCCCCTTTTTCTGCCACCTTGTTGCAATAGTTAAGCTGCAAACACCAGATCTGATTATTCATCCCTCTCTTACATGAGGGACTACCACTACAGTGGTTACTCAACAGCAGAACAGGTTGCAAAATCAGGCCATTTACAAGGCAATGTTTTGTTTGTGCTTGAAGTGTTCAAACACACACCAATGCCCTTCTGGATCCTTAGTCATTTAAAAGTGAATGGAAGAATATGTCTATTGCTCTTAAGGTTGCACAAAGCTGCCTTTGAACTCATAAATGTTTTGACATGTTTCACCTGTGTCCTTTTTAAGGCAACTAAAGCATCTTAGTACTTAGGAGAAGATAATTTAAGAACAGTTGTCCTGCATCATGCAAGTTTAAAAGATCTTTGCATTTGTGTTTATGTTGGGCCCAAGAAACTCACTTTTTATTTTTTTCTCCTTTGCAGGTTTATGACAGGCCCCCAAAGCATTCTGCTCTGCACTATGACCCAGGCCTCCAAAAGGACTTCACCAGCGAAACCTTAAAATCAAAGCACCAGCAAAAAAGCAGCAGCCAGCACCATCTTGACTGGTCAGCAAGCTCTGACCCCGGATCTGCTTCTCAAAGCTGCTTCCTCAATACAGAATCCAGCCGAGAAGCAACTAGTGCCCCAAAGGCTTCTGCTCAAGAGACAGTTGTTTCTTTCAGCAAGTCTCAAGCAAAGAAATCTGGTGCAGGAAGCACATGGAGTCAGTTGTCAACCAATAATAAAGAGCTGGCTTTATGCCCTGCAGTTCCGTCACCAAATAACATCACTGCAGCATCTCAGCCTAGCAATCCCTCCGAGTGCAATGGGCTTTCACCTCTAGTGGATAAAGAGGGAGGCGGTCAAATGGAGATCCCTGACCAACCCATTGGGAGCTCAAAGAAGAAATCCAGCAAAAAGGACTTGATAAATCAAAGCATCCAAAACACAGATGTAGAATGGGTGAAAAATGCCCAAAAAGCATTTGAGAACAAAACCCATGACGGCATAGAAGGGAAAAAGGAATCTTATTCAGTGGACAAAATACTAGAAGCATCACCCTCGAGGCCGAACCCAAGTTCGGCCAATGGTTCTGAGAGTGACACCAGTCACGTACGAATCACTATCCCAATAAAGACTCCGACAGCAGATATGTCTGGCCACAAACGGAAAAAAAGGCAATCTGCAAAATCTCCAGCAGATAAAACTATCCAGGAAAAAAGCCTACCTTCTGGACTTCCCATGAGCTGTGAAGTAGCAAACAGGACTAGTTCCCAACTGGAGGGGAGTAAAAAAGATCTCCGAGTCACAAAGCAAGGGAAAGCTCCTGAGAACGAGTCTCCCTTGGCAGCTCTTGAGAGCCCTGACAAAGCTTCCCCAAACAGTGCAAGCAGGCTTAGAAAATCTGCAGCTGCAACATCCATGCCTACACTTACCAACCTTCCTGCACCTAGCAAATTGCCAGAGATCCAGCACCCAAAACTTGCAGCAAAACGGAGATGGACCTGCAGCAAACCTAAAAACATGCTTCGGGAAACCTCTGTGGCTACATCTGAGAAGCTGATGGTGGAGCCTCCTTCAGCCTATCCCATCACGCCATCTAGCCCTCTGTATACCAATACAGACAGTCTTACTGTGATTACACCCATCAAGAAAAAAAGAGGACGGCCAAAGAAACAGCCTTTGCTCACTGTGGAAACCATCCATGAAGGAACCTCCACCAGCCCGGTCAGTCCAATCAATCGAGAATTTCCAGGCACAAAGAAAAGGAAGAGGAGACGGAACCTGGCCAAGTTGGCCCAGATGGTCCCAATGGAAGACAAATCTATCAGCGAACTGAAGTTTCACAAAAAGGTCGGCAAGCTGGGCGTGTTGGATAAGAAGACCATCAAGACTATCAACAAGATGAAGACCCTCAAGAGGAAGAATATTTTGAACCAGATCTTGTCCTGCTCCAGCAACATGGCTTTGAAAACAAAAGCCCAGCCACCATCCAGCACAGGGGCTGCAACCATCGATGCCAGACTAGGGAAACAAATAAATGTCAGCAAGAGGGGGACTATCTATATTGGCAAAAAAAGGGGCAGGAAGCCGAGAGCAGAGCTGCAGCCCCCTCCAGAAGAACCGAAGACAGGCATCAAGCACTCCAGGCCTGTTTTGAGCCAGCCAGAAAACCCAGCAGTGCCTTCCAACTTGCAGTCACTTGTGGCATTGTCACCAGCAGCTATTCATCCGCTTTCAACGCAGTTAGCGGGGTCTAATGGCAACCTTAGCCCTGCAAGCACTGAAACCAATTTTTCAGAGTTAAAAACTATGCCAAATCTTCAACCCATCAGTGCTCTTCCCACAAAAACCCAGAAAGGAATGCACAGTGGAACTTGGAAGCTGTCTCCACCCAGGTTAATGGCTAACTCACCTTCCCATCTGTGTGAAATAGGTTCTCTGAAAGAAGTCACGCTGTCACCAGTGAGTGAGTCTCACAGCGAGGAAACCATACCAAGCGACAGTGGAATAGGTACAGACAACAACAGTACTTCTGACCAAGCAGAAAAAAGCTCAGAATCCCGCAGGAGATACTCTTTTGATTTCTGTACCCTGGACAATGTAGAGGCCATACCATCCGACACCAGCACAAAGAACAGGCATGGTCACCGGCAGAAGCATCTCATTGTTGATAATTTTCTTGCTCACGAGAGCATTAAGAAGCCAAAGCACAAGAGGAAAAGGAAAAGCCTGCAGAACAGAGACGACCTCCAGTTTCTTGCAGACCTCGAGGAGCTCATCAACAAGTTTCAGGTGTTCAGGATCTCCCATCGAAGCTACACGTTTTACCATGAAAATCCATACCCCAGTATTTTCAGGATTAATTTTGATCACTATTACCCTGTGCCATATATCCAGTATGACCCATTGCTCTATCTTCGCAGGACCTCCGACATGAAGTCTAAGAAGAAGCGTGGTAGACCTGCCAAAACCAATGACACCATGACAAAGGTGCCTTTTTTACAAGGGTTCGGTTACCCTATTCCCAGTGGGAGTTACTATGCACCCTATGGAATGCCTTACACATCAATGCCTATGATGAATCTTGGTTACTATGGTCAGTATCCAGCTCCTTTGTACCTGTCCCACACACTTGGAGCAGCTTCCCCATTTATGAGGCCCACAGTGCCCCCACCCCAGTTCCATTCAAGCTCTCATATGAAGATGTCCACCACTGCCAAGCATAAAGCCAAACATGGAGTGCACCTGCAGACGCCTGTGGGAATGAGCCTGGGAGACATGCAGTCCTCCCTGGCGCCTCCGAAAGCTGGAGGAACAAGCCTTTCTAGTGGCCGACTTCACAAAAGAAAACACAAACATAAGCACAAGCATAAGGATGAGCGGCTATTGGGGGCACATGACGATCTGAGTGGTCTTTTTGCTAGCAAATCCACCGGCTTCTCCAGCCACGCAATCAGTGAAAGGCTAAGTGGCTCAGATAAAGACCTCTCGTTGCTCAGTGAGAAAAGTAAGCATAAGGAGAAACAGAAGCACCAGCATTGTGAAACGGGACACAAAGGCTCAAAGAGTAGCTTTGAAGTGGATACTCTGTCTACGCTGTCGCTTTCTGATGCCCAGCAGTGGACACAGAGCAAAGATAAAAGTGACTCGAGCAACGATCCCCTTGACTCTTGCACAAAGAGATACTCGGGTAACAATGAGAATAGTGCAAGGTCAGAGTCCCTGGACATGTTTGGTGAAATCAGTTGCTCCGGTGAGAAGCGGGACAACGACGCGAATGGGAATAAAAGACGAAGCTTTGAAGGGTTTGGAACTTACAGGGAAAAGGACATTCAGTCCTTCAGGATGAATAGGAAGGATAGAAGTACTTACGATTCTTCAGCCTCTTCAGGTAAGCCCTGAATTTCTAACCTGAACAAAAGGGGGCTTGGCCCTCTCAACCGTTGTTTCCTTTGAAAATTGAGTCTGGTCCTCTGTAAATAACCTCTCCACATTATCCAAACATTGTATTGTTGGGGGGGTCGGCAAAAAAATTGGCTCAATCTAAACCAAAACTTCTACCTGTGATTGCTGGCAAGGGGAGTACTGTAGAATCCAGTGCTTCTCATGGTGAATTGAGTCTTTGCTTGAACGGTCCTTGGAATTAGAGCCATCCCACTAACAAAAATTCTCTTCTGTGGCGTGGGGAACCCACAAAAGATGCTTATGAGCAGTAGTCTTTGTCTCATTAGATGCCCTGGAAGTTATGTGGACACTGATCCAACCCCACTAGTAGTGTGTTGTAGCAGCACTCGGGAGATCCAGGTATGATGGTGATAGGCTGTTTTTGGATGAATAGACAGGTAGAGACACTGGTTAGAATCCTAATCTAAATCTCTCCCTTCCTGATCAGCAGAAGTCATGCAAGTAGATGTGGGTAATAATGGGAAGAACCTAGTGCCCACAGAAGCAATAAGCCCTCGCTGATTAACGAGCAAGGCTGATTGATTTGTAAGCATTCATGATGTAGAAGATAAGGTGGGAAGGTGGGACTGGGAAGGAGGAGGAGACTGGAAGATCCTTTTGGTGGCTCAGGACTTCTGTTCCTCCACACACATAGAATGGGACCTGAACCCTGTCTGCAAGACAGAATTGCACTTTGCATTATAGAGCTACCTTCCTGGTGATGACACAGAGCCAGGTGTTTTGCCGCAGTGTAAACAACTGTGATGTGAGAGCAAACCCAAAGCTCCTGTACCGACAGATGTCCATCACTCTATCATGCAGCACATTTCACGCTTGGGTTCTGGAGGAGTGTGCACTTTATGAGGCTGGCCATGTTTGGAGGAGTTTCACAGCTGGATTCTGCTGTGCTAGGGAGGCATATCAAATTTGGGTCATTTCTGTCATAGAAAATGAAGAGGCAGAATCATTGCTTGGGAAGGCCTTGGGAGGAAATATAGAATTTATGCAGTCTGCCCACATGAGATTTTTAAGCTTTTGATTAAGAGTCCAATACTGCTTATGTTTAAGTTAATTGGATTGTTCCATTTCCTTCACTGGGGCTAGGATCTGGCCTTAAGTTAAAGAACAGCAAAGTTTTAAATGGGAGAGTTACTAGGTAACGTACATATGTCTAATAACCTGTCCTCCTCCGGTGTATTAGATAAATATTCTGCAGTCTGTCATTCTTAGTCAACAGAAAACCAACCTGTAGTTTGGAAATATATCCATAAAAATTGCCATATGGATACAGATCAATTGTAACAAATGCATGGCATACAGAAATGCTGGAATGAGACTGAATTTATCTCTTGGCCATTGGCAACTAACATGAATAGGTCAGTTACAAAAGGCTAATATCCCCGTCACAGCATGGGGTAATTATCCACAGACTGCAGTGACTTCTATTACAATGCTGAGGTTTGTCTGAATGCATAAGTGTTCAGAACCCCCATCATTTTTATCCTGGCTGTATCTCGCCTACATGCTGGACATTACTGATTTCCCAGTGTGGTACTGGAAGAACAGCTGAATCTTCATATATGAAAAGAACATTCTCAAGAGGAAAAAAACCTAAAATAACGAAGGACACTTTGAAACTGAGCACGGAAATCCCCCTAAATTTACTACCAAACTGACTATTAGTTCAGCTGAGGGTAAAATTGTGTGTTAATTAAAGCCTGATTCATTTTGTTTTCCCTTGGTACATTATTGATGTCAGTACAGAATAAGCTGAAGTAGCTAGACCTGCCTTTCTGCTTCACTAGACTCACTGTGCCAACTTTTAAACATTGTTTAGTATTTAAACTTTTTTTTTTAACTTTCAGACTTCTAATAGGTGATGGTCCCCTATGACCTAGTTCATCAAATTGCAGATTATAAATGGTTTTCTTCATTGTCAACGTATTATTTAGAATTGTAGATGGAAAAATTATCATCAACATGTAGGTAACCAGAGCCAGCTAAACAGAGCCATAACTTGCACCACAAAAGGCAAAATATTAAAACTAAAGAGCTCTGCCAAGATAGGTCTGGAGCCAAGACTGTTCATTAAAGTCCAAGAACATCTGTCTGCCTATGATTTTCTAAGATCCTAATGCAGTTTTTTTTTCTTTTTTGGCCTTTGTCCTTCACTGATATTCCCAGTTGCAGTCTGCTTTTGAAATTGTCCATAGCTATTAACTGGTGTCCACTGAGGATGGATTAAATTTTTCCATGATAACCTTGCCCTTCTTTCCCCTGATTCACCTTGTAATTTCATGGAAATGAGAGCCAGGAAAATTCTGTGAGAACATATAGTCCTCCGGCTGGAGGCTATTCCATAGTTGTGATAGTTCCCATCATAAGCCAGTTTTAATCTCCCACCATTTACATATAATATGTAATAATGATTTTAAAAGGCTTTCTGAACATTTAGACAAAAATTTAATGCAGATTCACATCAGATTTTTAAGTCAGAATTCTCCTATTCTGGTAAATCTTATTGCATGGAGTTTCAGTCACATTTCCTCAACAGGGTCCATGCACCATTTATATCTCCTCTTTGCTATATATTACTGGAGGTAAGGGAGGCAACTAAAAGTATACTGTGTAAGGAGGCAGCCATGCTAAAAGTAAAGCGAGAATCATTTAATGCTCTCGAGTCCATATGTTGCTAACAGTTGCAAGTATGTAATGATTTTTATCACGGTACTATCTGAAGGCCCCATAGAAATCAGGACCTACTGGGCTATGAACCGGTCATGCACATAGCAAGAGACAGTCTCTACCCTGAAGGTCTTGCAATCTCAGTAGACAAAAGGATTGAAGAGTCGTGATCCCCATTCTACAGATAAGAAATAGATATATTCAGTGATTTGTGTCACAGGTAGGATATAATGAGGGGTGTATAATAGCAGTTCCTTTCTTCTCTTTCATAAATGCTTGAAGATAAATACATTAAAGATTATGAAGTGCATAGCTACTCTGACTGTGCAGGTTCTGTAAGTACCATAGATAGACGCTATCGGATTAAATGTAATTTGTGATAGGTGGCAAGTATAGAGGAGACAGCAGCATAGACAGATAACCAAAAAGCTACCCTCTACAGTACTATATTTCTCTGTATCCCTTTCCTGAGACTGATCACAATCTAAGGGTTATTTTATGGCTTAGATTCTCTCTGCAGGTCTTTGTCACTGCAGATTACACAGCAAAAGTTTATCTAGCATGCATATCAGACATCCTGGCTCAAATATCAGCTAAAAAGTCCATGGTTTTCATCAGATATAGTGTAGATACTATGCACAGTCAATGTACAGGAGTAGAAATTTAATCATATGCAACTATTGAGAGAGGCAGTAATAATCAATCTCCAAATGTCAGGTATTTAGCATGATTAACATGCATTATAAATTAATACTTAACTCATCTACAAAATAGCTTGTAGTCAGTCCCAACCTCCACCTGCCATCAGTTTAACTCACATGTGCTGAGGACTCAGTGTCTCCTTTAGATAAGGGGTGGGTAGCTGAAGTACTAATGGATGAAGTGGAAAGAACTAGCAAAGAGGTCAGACCAAGCAATAGTCATCACCCACTGTCTGCTAATGTAATCACCACCAGGTAGATTTGAACCTAGGACCTCAGGGTAGAAGCCTCTACAGCTTGAGCTATAAAGCCAACTAGCTCTCGCTTTAGGCTCTAGAGCTCACTTGTTCTTATGTCTCACTGTAAGTGGTCTAAGTGCTACTACATGGGAGAGTGAACCACACTAGGCATGTGAGTTACACTTAGGGTTGCCAGGTGTCTGGTATTGACCCGGACAATTTGGTATTTTCGCCTCCTGTCTGGTAAAAAAAAAAATCAGAAAATACCGGACACTTAAAATGTCCGGTATTTTCTGTTTTTTTCCCCCTGCCAGGAGGCAAAAATACCAGACACCTGGCAACCCTATGACACACTAGGCATCTGGGCCCAGCCCCTAGCCCCCCTCCGCCCCGGACGCCATGCTTACCTGGTTCTGCAAGGAATCTGCGTTCTGGCTTGATCAAGAAAACAAACTGGCCACTGGCAAAAAGCCTTAAGACTAAGGGTCTTAGTGCTCAACTGTTCCCCTGTTCTTATCCCTATTTTGACTCTACACCTCTGAAAGGAGCCATGCTGTTTTAATGTTTTATTTATTTATTGCTTAATAACTCTGAGTGCTTTTTTTTTTCCTCAACAACTTTGGTCTCCCCCTTTTCTTTTTCCCCTCAACAGAATTTTTTCTCCAGTGTTTTTTCTGGGGGGGGGGAGGAGGTCAGTATTTTTGGTTAAACCATCTGGCAAGCCTACTTACACTAGGACATATAACACATCTGTCTGCCCAGCTATCATTTTAGCAATTACAAACATGACAAAGGGAGAGTAGGAAACCTATTGGGAAAACGGTCTTGAACAAGTGATACAGAGAAATTATGCTGATGCGGTATGTACTACTTTAGAGACAGTTCTGCAAATGACAGTACACAAATGAATAGCTTAACTCTCTTGAGTAGTTCCATATTAATCAATAGGACTTCTCCCATGACTGAAATTTTTACCCACATGCCTAAGTGTTTGTAGGTATGTGCCAGCTATGCAACATAGAATACATCTCTGGAAATCCTCACCAAGTAGTTAAATATTGCTGCCTGTTTTAAAGCGAGACTTGACTTTGCATATGAACAAGCATAGCAAACTGTTGGCAAAGTTGAAACCTGTTTCACTTTTTGAAGGACAGCACATGCTGTAATCTTGTACTGCTGCACACAATGGGCAGCCAGGAGAGAGCTGTTTTTCAAACTAGAGGATAAAGCAATTCCCCTTTCTGTGGTGTGGCCAGGCCAGAGGGTTGCTACAAAGTAGTGGAAAAGGCAGCCCCAAAAGGGAAAAAGTCCTGCTAATTAGG